GTATGTATGTATGTATGCATGCTTTGTGCACATGGAGTGAAATGATTTATTACAGCTTCAATAAAAGCATGGGGCGATGTGTATTTGATGGGCCGAAGTAGCATCTGTCCACTCCCTGGAGCCTCCAACCACCAGTTTAAGTGCCACACGGTGCTGGCCACCTGTGTGGGTGGAAAGACCTGCCGTGCGTGAACCGTCAGCAAGACTGCCTCCCTTCCACAGCTACGAACAGATGCTTCGGCACGGGACCCTAAAGCCTAATCCTGACGTCTTGGGAACCGCCCTCTGCCCTGCTTCAGAAACTACACGGGAGCTGGCGGAGAAGAACGCACCAGGCATGTCTCTGTAGAAACAATGCCTGAACACGATGACTACGTGGGAGCTTTCCGCACCTACGGCAAGCCAAATTCTCTGCAAGCTGCCACAGCTTCGCTCACAAGGCTCTCTGAACCAAATGCTCTGGCCTGTTTACGACATCGATCCACAACTGACCAAACCTTAACCTGGCTTCTCTGATATTTTTAAAGATCAGCACGCCGCAGGCGGTCGTTCCACGAGGCTGAATGAACTTGCTCGCTCTGCTACTCACGCCCTCTAGATTTTAAAACATGCTCCAACGAAGTCTCTCCGTCAGTCAATCGCTGGAATCCTAAGCTACATGCGTTTGAGGTCCACAGAAGCCTCATCTCGTTCTGCTTGCGTAAGGGAAGCAGCATTTCAGGTACCTCAAACTGCTTTCATCACTACCGCAGCTCCCATCGTCTCTCAACACACGTCGAGCAGACTCCTGGCGAACAACGACGCGGCTTTTCGGCTCTCTACAGGACTTGCAGGGTGCTAGATCCGGTCGCAAGTGGGTATATATATACTTAGCAAGCGTTTGTGCAATCAGTGTATCATCATCTGCCTCTTGGCGCTGCTTCACAGGGCTTGCTCAAGCGCTGTTATGCATATCCATGGCCCTCCTCCAGCAATGGCAGCGAAGGCTTTACTCCAAACCCTCTCCCTCGCTCTGTCTTCACAGACACACTATATATATATATATATATA